CTAGAGTGTTATGTCGCCTACTTAATATGGGCCTGGAAGAGTCTATTGTGTAGGTAGTTTCCGGTCTCACAATACTTACTTTTCGAATCGTAGAGCCGTGTTCGAATTCCAATAGAATCCATTAGATTCACTTACGTGCTAATACTCTTGGGAAAGGTATGAATTCTCTTCCCCCACCCTCCCCAGCTATAGGTAAATAGTAGGTTCTATAGCCTTTGATGGCAACTGGTCTTCCACGGAAAGAAATGGTAACCTACTGCGGGAAAAATGCCTCGCCAGTCATGTATCGAAAGATACATGATCGCCTAAGCGTGTATCATGAATGGCATATAACTGAGTAACTTCAAAAAATTAAATGCAATGTCAGTCGTTATTGTCTGTCTTCTTAATTACTGTTCTTTAATTGTTTTCTCTCCTTAATAATGTTTCTTTTCTCATGTTCTTTCATAGTCAGTAGCCCCTTGTGTTTTAGATGCTTTGTTGCCTTGCGTGGTGTGAAATGATTTTTAAAAAATCTAAGGAATTATTGTTCACTTACGACCCCCTTTCAGTTTCTATTTTGTCATCCATTTGCACAAAGCTCGTTATATTGATTAATTGATGTTTCCCGCCGCTCTTTTTATCTTCAGTATGTCTGCAATGGTAAGGAGGATGCTTGTCAGGATTTGCGGAAGAAATCTTTTTATTAAGTAACTAGCAGCATGGCCCGGCGTTGCCCGTGCTTGATTCAAAAATCGTACGACTCATACAGCAATCGCTATCACTTGACTTAAAATATTTTTGCACTTCCTTGCCTTTAAAGGAGTGCCCTTTTCCGTGCTGATGTTGCTACATGCCTTACTTCTTGCCTATCTCACACTGCGAATTTTTTCTAAGCTCTATACTCAGTTGTTCATTCAAGTAGTTGCGGCACCAGGGGCAAAAATAGCTCATCAGAACAGTTGCCATGAAAATATTTGTAGGAAAGACAGAGGGAAGCCGCGTTACGTCGGTATGAAAGTGATTGAAGTCGGGATGCCTGGTCAGGATTGTTTAGGGTTAGGATTTTGTTAAGAACCTCGAGATGTACAGCAGGAGCACCAGACCAAATATGGCAACAGTATTCAACGCACAGACGAATTCAGACGCGAAAAAAAAAAAAAAAAATAGGAAAAGAAAGCGAGAGGGTAGAACTGTTAAGTGCGAAAAGACAGAAGATCGTTAGCGAGAGGGATAGCGCAAGACGTGAGCGACGAATTAGGGTTGCTAGGATCAAACAAGTGCAGAAATCTAACTATCTGGTATGTGTTATAACAGACGACGGAAAGTGAGGCACAGAAATTCGAAGGCATATCGGAACAATAAAAAGTGCCTTAGAAAAGCTAAACAAAGTATTAAGAAACAGAAAAATTTCGTTAGAAACTAAAAAAGAAAAGAAAAAGAGCGCTGAACTGCTACGTAATATCAGTGAATGCCGGGCAGTTTCTTCACAGATGAAGAGGGAACTTGAAGCAACAGAGATATGGTTCTACATTCTGCTTTTTTATTTAACCCATATTTAGGGGGAGATATAGATTCAAGTGTATTTTGGTGTAAGGGAATGGAACGAACTTGAAGATAATTCGAAATCGACTCTTCGACTTCTAATTCTCATTGCAACACCTTCACATTTATATATTGTTGGGGTGCACCCACCTTCTCAAGAGAATGGACTGATCTCTCTACAATATAGGTCAGTGCTAGAGAGATCAGGGGAGGTAAGGAGATCACGAGACTATTGCACTTCCGTCTCTCGACCGGAAGTTACCGTTGGACTTTAGACTCTTGCTGATTGTTATTACTAACCTGCGTTCGTTATTACTAATTACTCTGTTGTTAAATACCTCTTAAAATATACCAGTATTTTTCCCTACATCTGTGTTTGTCCTTATTTGAATACACACACGCGGGAACACTCCCAACATCTCAACATATATAAAAAATAATAATAATTAGATAGGCAGACATAGGTTCAAATCTAGAGTAAAAAAAAAAGAAGTTTACATTACATTTTTACCTATTTTATCATCGGCTCAATGATAAAAACAAGAATGAAATTCCTACTGTGAATTGTATATTATGTTATCCTCAAATCAACATATTTAAACGTTTTCTCTTATTTTCTATTACGTGGTTTCAAGTAATAGTGTTGTAAATGTGTTTGTAAGGGATAGTGGCTCGGATTGAGGAACCGGAGAGCCGAGTTCGAATTCCGGTTGAGTTCATTATATTCACTTACGCGCTAATACCATTAGGGAACGTAAGAATCCATTTCTTCTCCTTCCAAATGTGAGACAAAATGTATTTTGAGCAATTCTAGGGTACAAAATAAGAGGAGATTTCAAGCAACAAAGATGTGATTTTAAAGGAAAATGCCGAGAGTACCATGGACCGAAAATGTGAGGAATGAGGAAGTTTTAAGGAAAATAAGAACGAAAAGGACACTTTCTCTTAGGATCAGAAAGAGACAGTTGAAATTTGTGGGACATATAATGAGGACACTGGGCTTGGCGAATTTAACACGCACAGGACATTCAGGAAGGCAGATGCAAACAATGAGTAACCTTACCTAACGAGTTTGTGAATGGATGGCAGAACAGGGAGCGAGAGGGAACAAACATTGCTTAGAGTTGCAGAGGATAGGAAATTGTGGAGGGCCATGATCATTTACGTTATGAATAGGCAAGATACATAAAAATCTATCTATAGGCCTGAAATTCGAAAACTTGAATTAAAGGAAGGAGGAAAGGAGAGAGGAAGTGGGAAGAGGAGGCTGCACTGTGGAGTAATGGATAGTGGCTTCGATTGAGGAATTGGAGAGTCGAGTTCGAATTTCAGTTGTTCATTAAATTCACTCGGGGAATCTATGGATCTTCTTCCCCCCCCACACACAGCTGTGGGTATGTAGCAGGACAGGCTGTGCCCTTCTGTTGCAACCGGTCTAGATGATTTGTTTTGTTTAGCGGCATATCAACACTTCTATGGGTTATTTAATGCCGAAATCTAAATAATCTGAACTGAAATGGCTTCAAATAAATGTTTTGAACGCAGTTGTGTACTTTTAACTAGAAATAAAATGTATTGTTGGTCATTTAAAAATGTATTTGTGATTTTACTATAAATATATATTGTTGTTAATTCTTTTATAAAAATGTATTGCTATATTTCTATACATTCATAGTGTTTTATTTTTATTGGGGGGGTCAACTATTTGCCCATGGCTGGGACCCTAACAGGTGCAACCACCCCGAGTCAGGGTGAACCCGGAAACAACATCAATTAAGTGATAGTTCCACGCTCCTCAAAACTTCCAATCTCCCGATTAGAGTCCTTGTGACCAAATGGAGTTCATCGTTATACCCAGGACGGTGGTCTAGAACAGGGGTCGGCAACTCATTCGGCCCCGCGGGCCGGGTCGTGTTATAATGACGGGTCGCGGGCCGGACGAAGGCCATTAATGAAAAATTAAGGAAAATTACATATGCAGACCCCCTGTCAACCTAAATATTTAAAACCATAATGAAAATAAACATTGAGAAATCAGAAAAAAACAAAAGAAAATCTAAAACTAAAAAACACCTAACAAAAATTACTTTTCCTCAAGGAACGTCAAAATACTTCAAAGTGAAAAAAATCAACCGAAGTGAAATGGATGAAATTATGACGTGGAGGTTTGAAACTGTTATTCAAAATTGTTCCACACACACACACACACACACACACACACACACACACACACACACACACACACACACACACACACACACACACATCAAACAAAAACGAAGCACATATACCCATACATACGAGTACAAATAGTTGCAAACATATACACTTACGTACGTACACATGCGGTATCATCCACACATTCATGAGGCATGTATGTATAATGCGCGTATGTTTAACTGTCTTTAGATTTCTGCTACCGCGAATGTCAGTCCCTCCCTGGCCTTTTTCACTTTATCGTTCCTTTCACTTCTGTTATCTTTTCATGTAGCCAAGGGCCTGAACAAATATGTATCCATTATTTGACATTAAACGTAGGCAACGCAACTTGGTAAAATAAGTCTCATGAAAGATAAGTGGCAGATAGTCTAATATTTTTAGTGCACTGAGATAACAGCAGGCCTTTTGTCGAATTCGAAAGCCTCGTCTCTCATGTTAAAAATAGAGTCATTGGTAATCATGCTCGCGGCCCGGATGCGGCCCGCGGGCCGTAGGTTGCCGACCCTTGATCTAGAAGAAGGAAAAACTCTGAATTTAAAACCAGCCTGTAGATGGTTGAGCACTGTCCGGCTTTTTTTTTACGGGATACAGTACAGGTGATGCCCCTAAGGCCCTAATGGGTTACAGGTCTCGTGATCTTGAGATAGGTAGACAGGTAGGTAGAAAGATAAGCCGTGGCCAACCGGTATCATGCATCATTTCGATATCGTGTTGACTAAGGGTGTAATTTTCGTGAATGTTTCAACGAGATGTCTGCAGAACAATGAGCAATTGTTTCTTTAGTGGTGACTAATCAGGTACACGCTAAGTACTCGTGAGAGCTAAGAGGTAACTGGCTAGAAAGCGACCAAAGATTTCTCTGTGAGACAAAGATGTATTTTATTTTGTAGACAGGAAGGTCGGTAATTTTACGTACCTGCTTGGGTCGATGGCGACGTTAATAGATCCATAATATTTGTGCTTCTGAGAGATGGAAACAGGAATCTCGCAGATAGAATATGAATTTAAGAAAATAATAAACATGTACACGGAGACAAGGAAAAGGGTAAAAATGGACGAGTGAAATATAATTGATGAACATATTTATTAACAAAACACTGTTGTGAACTTTGTATAAATAATTAGTGATTTTTCAGACTCAAAATTATAGCAGTTCATGTGAACATTATGTGTAACCCATGGGAAGAAAGAACCAGTAAAAAGAAAGAAAATAAACTAGTGAAATACTAATGCATCTATTTACATCATAATCATAGAAATAAATCTATCTATCTATCTATCTATCTATCTATCTATCTATCTATCTAATACAATCTGTTCATATCTATCTAAATTTATTATCTATCTATCTATCTATCTATCTATCTATCTATCTATCTATCTGCCACAGTCTGTTCATATCTATCTATCTATCTTATTTATTATCTATCTAAATTTATTATCTATCTAAATTTATTATCTATCTATCTATCTATCTATCTATCTATCTAAATTTATTAATTATCTATCTATCTATGATAAGATAAAGAAAAAATAGGAAAGGTTTATCAATAATATGTTTTAATAGACTTTAATAAAATTGAAACATGTTAGATTGATAAACGTTCCCTATTTTCGTTATCTTATTCTGTCGGATTCCGATCCATATTTGATTCACATTTGATCGTAACTAATCTTTCTATATATCTATGTCAATTTTTCTTTTCTATCTATCTACCTATCTATGTCAAATTATTCTTTTCTGTCTATAGGGTTATTCGGAAAATTTAACTTAAAACATTATATACGCATCCTCTTGAATATGGAAAAAGAAGAGATGAGTCTTGACCATAATGCTTCTCAAACTGTTGCCAGCATTATCAGAGCATTGGTTGAAAGATCCACCTTTTTTCGGAGAGTAGAGCGCTGGTTTCTGAAGCCCGCAGCTGGGATACCAGTTTTGAAAATCAAGGTGATAAAGGACGTCCATCTGCAATTAACAATCAACATCTGAAAAAACTAGGCGAACAAATCCTTCACTTAAGCAGCATAAATAAACTGCTATTCCTTGAATGGTGTAAAATCAATAGAAACAAGGTGTGTATATCTATCTATCTATCTATCTATCTATCTATCTATCAAGGCTCAAACGTTAATATTCCATGGTTATAATTTATTACATTGGAATCGTAATCAAAATCCAATTCATCAGACCTACAAATTCAAAAAGAAATATTATATTCTTGCTCTGTCCTGGACATTGAGCTCTACCTGTATTCTATCCTCTTGGAAATTTATATATATATATATATATATATATATTGACCCTTAATATAATCAAACTAAACGGTTATATATATATATATATATTACCATTAAGTACTATTACAATGGGTAATGATGGACTACGCAGCAAATAAATGCAGAATTTACCAACCACAGAGAACCCTCCCTGCCTCCCGTCAGAATGGCTGATTCTCAACTCCTCGAGAGCGCCTCGTTACGTCTGCTTGGTCTCACGCTGTTCACTGACATTAGGTGGAATAAATACATTGAATCAATAGCTTGATCTACCGCAAGGAAGGTTGGTGCTCTGTGTCGTGCCAGAATGTTTTCTTCGTCTGAGACCATCCTTCAAATCTATAAATCAACCATTCGTCCTTGCATGGAATATTGCTGTCATATATGGTTTGACGTCCCCGCTGTGTCTCGAGGTCCTCGACAAAATCTAGAGACGAATATGCAAGATGATAGGTCCTGATCTGGCATCTAGTCTACAATCGCTATCCCACAGATGTGCTGTGACCTCCCTCTGTCTCTTCTACAACTATTTTCACGGCAACTGTTCCGACCAGTTGCTTTCTCTAGGTCCTAGAGTGCATAAATTTAAGCGAGCTACTAGGTTGGAATCTCCGTCCCACCCTTTCACTGTCGAAACGGTTAAATGTAACCGTCTCTTCTACTCAAACAGCTTCTTCTCTTGCACTTCCCATCTGTGTAATTCTCTTCCTCTTACTTGCTTCCCTGATAACTATAATCTTCAAATAATCAAGTGTAATGTCAATCGACATCTTCTGATACCTTGATCTTGTTACCCATCCTTCTCTTTATCCTCTCCCCAAACATACCTCTTTACTCTTATTCTCTACCCTCTGTCACTCCCACCTTGCTTGGGGTGAAATGCTTAAGAACAACAACAACAAAAACAAAAAAAAAAAAAAAAAAAAAACAAACAAAAAAAAAACCCCGAAAAAACACGGAACTGTTCTTGTACCGCTGAGACCACATGAATTCGTGGAGATACGAAGTGGACAACACCTCAGAAGTTTCAAAATTTCGACGCAGTTTACGCTTGGCGCGCATCTAAAGATTCTCCATGTTTCAAGTATGGACGGTGTCATATTCAGGATCCACTACCAATCTTCTTGCAAAAAATCCTCTCTTGACAATAATTCATTCGGATCAACGACTGACTGCGAGGCACTTGGACTACCACGTGACATGGCTGAAATGAAACCACGCCGATTATTTTACGCCGCTTAAGTGAAGAATTACCCCCACGTCAAAGCGTCCGAGAAATCTCGGATAATGGGTTTCAGCATTTTAACACTATCGTACCATCACTATTAATCGTCTGAGAGACCCCTTTATGCCTTCCATCAGTGTGGCTGATGCTAACCTCCAGGAGCGTGACTCGTTGCGTCTTCTCGGTTGACATGAAATAGAAAGGCTATATTGAATCCATTGTTAGGTCAGATGCAAAGAAATTTAGTTCACAGTGTCATGCTAGACATTTTTTCTCTTCAGAATCTATCATTCATATCTATAAGTCTACTATTCTTCCATGCTTAAAATATTTCTGCCGCATATGGTCCGGTGCTCCTGCTATATATTTAAAGATCCTTAATAAAATTCAAAGAAGAATTAGCAATATTACTGATTCTGGCCAGTCGTCTCGGCTCCAGTCACTTTTCCACCGCTGTAAAGTTGTCCCCCCTGTGCTTTTTCTATAAATACTTTCATGGTAATTGTTCAAATGAGCTCTTCGCCATGGTACCTATACTCTATCAATTTAAACGCAGTACTAGATTGGCGCCGAGGTCTCATCAATTTACAGTTGAATTGGCTAGATGTAACTGTAAGTTCTACGCTAACAGTTTCTTTTCTCGCACTTCTCACTCGTGGAAATGTCTTTCGGCTTTCCAGTCAACTTTAATCTTCAAAAATTTAAATGCAATGTCAGTCGCTATCTACTATCTATCCTGATTGCTCTTCTATTGTTCTCGTTCCTTAGTAATGTTTCTGTTCTCTAATTCTTTCACACCCAGTAACTCATTGTGTGTTAGTGACTTTACTGCTTTGCTTGTGATGAATTCGATGAAAATAAATCTCAAGGAAATTGGCAAGGTGAAGAAAATCGATAAATGGGATATTATTATACGAAATCTTAAAATTTTAAATTGTAGAACAAGTCTCTTCTCCAAATAAAAATATATCAACCTTTTTACCCATTTCTAAGGTTGACGATAACGCGTATAATCTTCTGTAGTGAAAATGGTTGCTTTACTTTCAACGAAAAATTACTTTGAATTTTTTTTTTTATTAATATGTCCCGCCTTATGATAAACCATATCTCACGCGGCCCACAGATCGGAAAAGGTTGCCATTGCTTGTGATAGAGTGTATTTTTTTTTGTTTAGTAGGGATACAAGGTTCTAGTGAAAGTTTTGAAAATTATCTGTTGAGACTGTGAATGGAGAAACGCTAATGAAGAGGACATGATTAAAGTGCAGATAATTAAAGCAATTAAAGGAAAAATGGGCGAGAACTTTTGTAAAGAGAACCGGAATCTATTCTGACTCAGATAAGTGCCAAGCAGTGGAGCAGAATAAGTTTTAGTCGGACAAGATAATTTAGATGATTTGAAAAAAGACAATATTAAGGCTGCTGGAAAAGATCGGTAAAAAGTACAATTGTGTCCATTGTGAAAAGAAACATGTAAAAAGAATGATAAATTGCTAAGTATACAGAAAAAGACTACTTGAGATTATGGAAGTTAACAGCTTTTGTGTATTTTAGGTGTGTGCGTATTCACATATGACAAACAAAGAAAAAGCATAGAAAATCTTAAGTTCCTACCACAGACAGTTTATTCTCTTTTTTATAGTGACTGTTATAGAACAAAGTTCTCAATGTGTCTCTGGTATGTCCGGTTTCCTTTTGGTTCAGAAGTTAGTGTAAGTAAGTATAAGCATCATATAAATAGTCGAGTTCAAGTCAGCCTTGCGCAGAGTCGGAACAACCAAAGAAAAGCTTGTGCTTATTTTATCGTTGGAAGGTTTAAACATAGTTATTGGATGTCCGTTTTCTTTTTTAGTCCAGAAATTAGTGTAAGTAAGTATAAGCATCTTATAAGTTACAATGGTCGAGCTCAAGTTAGCCTTGCGCTAATTTGGAACAACCAAATAGAAAGCTTGTCTTACTTCATAGGTGAAAGTTTTTGGAAGACACGTGTGAACACTATGCATTGAAAAGGGGAGAGTTCAGTTGTCAGTGGACCGGGGAAACTAAAATTTCCCAGTGGAAACGGAATTACCACGTGTTCCTCCATCTTGGCGTTAAAATGTGAATAAGAGTGGGACAGGAAAACATTTGTCTTTTTCTTCGGACAGGGTAATTTAGGTGATTTTTCGTTTTTCTTTTTCATTATTATTTTTTTAGTTATCGATTTTTTTTATTTTCCCACAAGATTCAAGAAAAAAAAAAAGATTCATTTCACAACTTCTGTATTTCAGCACAAAAAGATAAATTTTATTTGGAAAAGATGGAAAAATTGGAAAAAGTTGAAAGAATCTGATTTAATCTTTTATGAAAAAGATCTATGTCGAAAGAAAGAAACGATGTCAAGACAAAAAAAAAATCCAATTTTCAGTTTGTACGGCAAAGGGAGATAATAAAAACAGTAATTTAGATGATTTGGATGAAGACAACATTAATGGTCCTGGCAAAGATCGAAAAAAATACGATTGTTTTTTATTGTGAAAGACGAAAAGAACACGTGAAAAGAAGGATAAATTGTCCATTATGCAGAAAATAATAATTGAAATACAAGAAAAGATCATTTTACAACTTCCGGAGTTTTGCACGACAAGGGGAGATAATAATTGCAATAATTTAGATGATTTGCATGAAGACGATGTTAATACTGCTGGAAAAGATATGAAAAATACGATTGTATATATTGTGAAAAGAAAATTTAAAAAGAATGACAACTTGTCCAGTTTGCAGAAAATAATGTTTGAGATGAAAGAAAAAAAAACAACTTTTCCAACTTTCACAGTTTGTATGACGAAGGGACATAATAAACAGTAATTTAAATGATTTAGATAAAGACAATATTAATAACACAAAATAAACACGCACCCCCCACCAAAAAAAAAAAACAACAACAACAAACAAACAAAAGGAAAA